CGGTTGTTTGTTTTGCCCCACTTTAAGGGGTCCGCTCCTGTTAATCAGACGATTGTTTCCTGGAAGAACCAGGCGTACTCCCAGCCGTCTGCTTTCAAACCTTGGGGTTCGGTTGCTCCGAGGGAGAGGGTCTGAGTGCCCCACCCTGCAACAAGAGTCAAGATCGTAAAAAAAAAAAAGAGGAAAAATAAGAAGAAAATTAACACAAAGAGCATGACCAAGTGTTGAAGGCTCACCTTGGACGTCTCCTTTAAGGGAGAGTCGGTAGAAGGCCGCTTCTGGTTAATTATAGCCGCGCGAGGAAGGGCGGCCGCCTTCTTGGAAGCAGAGATCTTATCCATGGCTTTGTCTGCAAAGGCATCTCAGAGTTAGTAAAAAATTCAAGCAAAACTAAAAATGAGAAAGCATAAAAAGGGGTCGACTACCTCTAGGGGTCCGTTCACTAAGCCCACAGGCGGCCAAGAAATACTCGTCATACATCCAATTGAATTTGGGTATGCAAGTTAAGGGGATCAACTCTCGTACCCCTGTAGTAGAGTTGGCTCTGATCTCCACTTTGAAGAGACCCTGATCAAGGATCTCCTCCTTGGCTTTATGAGGAACATGCGGCAGGCTAGAGCCGCCTGCGAGGAGAGGTGGATCCCTGTTCCACCTATTGTACTTCTTGTTAAGAAGTTTGTTGGGGCTAGAAACAATGAAGAAGGTATTCCTCTAGTCCTTCCACTTGTTCTCCTTCCCCTTGTCATCAAGTAGCCCTTATGGCTGGAAATCTGGTACCAGCCGGTACCGCTTCCTTTTGGGGTCCAACTTAGATAATTCATGTGGGCGAACGTTGCTAAATTGGGTTCATCCCCATACATTTCACAGCCGGCCACAAAGCCGACAATGTTGGACCACGAGTTTGGGGCCAACTATCAGAGTCCTACCTGGTATCCGTCTAGGATTTGTTGAACAACCGGATGAAAGGGGAATCTTAAGCCAGCCTTAATGGCCGCCTCATAGAAGCCAAAACAAGCGTCCCCATAGCTTGATCCCTCAGGCCAAACAACTGTATCTTCACCATCCGGCACCGATAGGAAATAATCCGGGCCTATTACATGGTCGGCCTGAAAGGCCCCTAACCTCTCAGTCATGGCCTTAATTCGACCTTTAGGGACATGACAATAGTAGGGAGTGTTCGACTCCCTATGAGAAGAAGACGGCTCATCCCAGCCGACTCCCTTGTCAACCGCATGAGACGTTCTCGTCTCATGAAGACGAGAATGCCTCTCTTCTGAGTATAGAGACTGCCGGCTAGATTAGCTTGACTTAGAGTCACTAGAGCTCTAAAAAGAGGCCGACTCTTCTTTCCTAGAGAGGGCCTGCTCTTGGCCGGACATATCTACAACCATAGGACTGGCCGCCTGAACCTCAGATTCTTCTAAAATTGAGTCACTTGGAGTGCTTGGGTCACCAGGCGACCTGTCCGAGAGCTCGCTCAACTGCACATAATATGAGGAGCCGTCTGAATTTGTATATCTAGCCGTCCTCTTTGTTCTAGCCATAGTGTCCTACATAGACACAGAGACAGTCGGACTTGGAGCACAGGGCAGAGATTGGTCCAAAAGGGGGCAGGTGGCACTCCTAGTCCTAGATTTAGCCGTCCCCGGTGACCGACTAATCACTAACCTAGGTCGTGCCGGGTGCTTTTAGGATACCATATCTTCAAAAGAAAAAATGCAAAGAAATGAAAAAGTGCAAGAGCAGACGGTTACCTGAAGTGTGTGTACTGAGAAAAGGAGATGGGCGTCTAAAAACAGCCGGTCACCACAAACAGTCGGCTAGCACAATCAGTCGGTCGATTATCAGTCATCCAGAAGTCTAAGAGCACAAATTCAGGGTTCCGAGTTCTCTTGCAAAGTTCACAAAATGTGAACTAGACTTTAGTCAACATGCCCTTATATAGGGTTATTCGAGAATTTGAAGGGTCACACCCCAAATTAAAAAATAGGCGGGAAAAACAGACGGCCTACCACAGGCCAACACCTGTCAGAGGCCATCGCCCAGCTACGGGCCGACACTTGTCACAGGCATCACGTGACGAGTCACGTGAACCCTGTGAGGGGCAAATGTTTAGGGGATTTTTCCCAGCCACGTGGACCAATCAGCACCTGCCACATGTTAGCCACGTGGACCATTCAGGGGCTGCCACGTGTCATGCTTCGAAAGGTCCAGCATGGACCAATCGTGCCACTCCACGTGGCTCATTATCTGCCAACCTGAAAAACGGCCATCACAGGCCCGAATCCCTCAGTAAGCCCAATCAGTCCTAGGTTTACCATTTAACCTAGTATTGGGCGCGCAATTCGAGGATATAAATACATAAATTAGCCTTCATAAAACATATTCAGAATTAATTAATCATCTAACCAAGAGAAACCTAAACCCTCGTGCATATTACTTGCTAGACCAGACTTAGCATTAATCGCACACCTCGATCGCTCCTCCCATCAGATCACCTTTACTTTTCCACATTCTTTACTCCACATACAAGGAACTAACTTGATCATCGGAGGCGGAGCTCCCACCACACGGAGTCTCCGTTGTTTTGCAGGTACAGGCGCACAAATCCAGTCCGAGAATTGTAACTCTCCCGTAGGATATCCAAAAACCCCGAAACACATTTGGATTCTGTTAAGTCAATTTACTTTGTTTAATGCATTTGATGTTATTTGATTCAAAAAGCTTTGTTTGAATGTGTTTGACTTTCTTTGATTCAATTAGCTTTGTTGAATGCATTTGACTTTCATTTGATTCAATTAGCTTTGATGATTGTCTTTGACTTTTTTTTTATTTAATTAGCTTTGTTTAAATGTGTTTGACTTTCATTTGAATCAATTAGCCTTGTTGAATGCAATGACTTTCATTTGATTCAAAAAGGTTTATATGAATGTGTTTAACTCGCATTTGATTCAATTAGCTTTGTTGAATGCAATTACCTTTCACTTGATACAAAAGGCTTTATTTGAATGTGTTTGACTTTAATTTTATTCAACTAGCTTTAATTTCACTTTGGGTTGATTCATTTAGCTTTGTTAAATGTATTTGACTTTCATTTGATTCAATTAGATTTTTTGAATGCATTTGACTTTTATTTTATTTAAAAAAGTTTGTATGAATGTTTTTACTTTGCATTTGATTCAATTAGCTTTGTTGAATGCAATTAACTTTCACTTGATTTAAAAATCTTTATTTAAAATGTGTTTGACTTTCATTTTATTTAATTGACTTTGTTGAATGCATTTAATTTTGATTTGATTATTTAACTTAATTGAATGCATTTGACTTTCTTATTATTCAAAAAAGCTATATTTTAATTTGTTTAACTTTGATGTGATTCAATTAGCTTTGTTGAATGCATTTAACTTTAATTTTTTTTGAATTTCCTTTGTTTGAATGTGTTCACTTTGGTTTGATTCATTAGGTTTTGTTAAATGCATTTTACTTTCAATTGATTTAATTAGCTATGTTGAATGCATTTGACATTTATTTGATTGAAAAGCTTTGTAAATGCATTTGAATTTCATTTTATTATAAATGTTTTTTTGAACGTGTTTAACTTTGATTTGATTCAATTAGTTTTGTTGAATGCATTTGACTTTCTGTTGATTTAAATTGCTTTGTTTAATGCATTTGATGTCATTTGATTTAAGAAGCTTTGTTTGAATGTGTTTGACTTTCTTTGATTCAATTAGCATTTTTGAAGCATTTGACTTTCGTTTGATTCAATTAGCTTTGATGATTGCATTTGACTTTTATTTGATTTAATTAGCTTTGTTTAAATGTGTTTGACTTTCATTTGAATCAGTTAGCTTTGTTGAATGCAATGAATTTCATTTTATTCAAAAAGGTTTGTATGAATGTGTTTAACTCGCATTTGATTCAATTAGCTTTGTTAAATGCAATGACCTTTCACTTGATTCAAAAGGCTTTATTTGAATGTGTTTAACTTTCATTTTATTCAACTTGCTTTGGTTAATGCATTTGACTTTTAATTAATTATTTAGCTTTGTTGAATGCATTTGACATTCATTTGATTCAAAAAGCTTTGTTTTCATTTGATTGACAGTGAGTTGATTCAATTAGCTTTGTTGAACGCATTAGACTATCATTTGATTCAATTAACATTTTTTAATATGGTTAACTTTCATTTGATCTAATTAGATTAGTTGATGCATTCGACTTTCACTTGATTCAAAAAGCTTTGTTTGAATGTGTTTGATTTTAATTTGATTCAATTAATTTTGTTGAATACATTTGACTTTTATTTGATTCAATTAGTTCTGTTGAATGCTTTTGAATTTCGTTTGATTTAGGAAGCTTTGTTTGAATTTGTTTCACTTTGGGTTGATTCATTTAGCTTTGTTAAATGTATTTGACTTTCATTTGATTCAATTACATTTGTTGAATGCATTTGACTTTTATTTTATTCAAAAAGGTTTGTATGAATGTTTTTACTTTGCATTTGATTCAATTAGATTTGTTGAATGCAATTAACTTTCACTTGATTTAAAAGGCTTTATTTAAATGTGTTTGACTTTCATTTTATGTAATTGGCTTTGTTGAATGTATTTAATTTTGATTTGATTATTTAACTTTGTTGAATGCTTTGACTTTCTTTTGATTCAAAAAAGTTTTATTTTAATTTTTTTTGACTTTGATGTGATTCAATTAGCTTTGTTGAATGCATTTGAGTTTCATTTTTTTTAATTTCCTTTGATTGAATGTGTTTCACTTTGGTTTGATTCATTTAGTTTTGTTAAATGCATTTAACTTTCAATTGATTCAATTAGCTATGTTGAATGCATTTGACTTTTATTTTATTGAAAAAGCTTTGTTATAGTGTGTTTGATTGATAATTGATTCAATTAGCTTTGTTGAATGCGTTTGACATTCATTTGATTAAGTTAGTTTTATTTGAATGTGTTTGACTTTAATTTGATTCAACACTAGGCGAAAAATACAAATGGGCACCAGTTCAAAACCCCCATTTCGCACTGGTTTTGAACCGGTCCTTGCTGTGAACCGGTGCTAAAAGTGGCCCAAAAAATGAAAAATAAACTTTTAGCATCGGTTCTTGCTCTGTACCGGTACGAAAAGTGGCCCAAAAAATAAAATAAAAAAACTTTTAGTACCGGTTCTGTTTCAAAACCTATGCTAAAAATGCCCTACAAAAATTTAATTTTTTTTTTTTTTTTTTTGTATTTTTTTCACTTAAATTGTACCAAATACTTATATATAATCATAATATACATAAAACACATATATTTTCTTCAATAACTTGGTAACATTACACTTATAAAAACTGAAAAAAAAAATTTAAAAAAACGCGGTACAATTATTTGAGGAATTCCAAGATAATTTAGTAGAACAAGTAAAACAGTTTGGACGTATTTATGTACAAAATTACAAATTCTGAAGGTGAGACAACATTGTAATACCATCCTTTGTTAAGAGTTGACAAGGAGTAATCACATTGCAGCAATTATGTGCCACAATATATCTCGACTCTCTCAAGAGGGTTGTTCAAAAAGCCATACCACCGGAGAAGCTGTCTCCATCATGATGTAGAGTCTCAGTGAGCCAGTAACCATCCCAGGAACCACCAAGCCTCTGCTTATCAAGATAGTTTTATCAAAAATGTGCAAAACAGGACTGAAAAAGAGAAAAATCAGCAATTGACATAACTGAAAGACTTTAAGATAAAGAAATAAACTCGTGTCTGACATTTTCTGTTGTTATTTTCAAACAATTAGCGGTGGGACTTGCACAGCAACCAGCTGCCTATCTCAGGAGAACTGCCTAAACGGTGAGGAATTGAACCCAGAAATCAAATTTAGAAATTAGGATGTGCTCCACTAGGCCATCACATTCTCCTAAATTTCATCTTTACATAATCAGTAAGAATATTAATCTATCACTTTATAGAGATCCCAATATTCCAAACCAAACTAATCCATGCAGATCATTGCAAGTCAGTTTTCCAGCCTAATAACAGGTTTTAGAATTATACAAATACAGGCCTCAAACTACCACAAGAAGACTAATATGACAAGTGCATCACCAGACGGACAGGTTAAACACCACTTTGTGATCTGATTTTCTTTTTGTTTGTTCTATTATGCTTGATACATCTCTGATTGCATCCATATCGTTATTAATTAATGAGCATATAATGAATTAATGCGCATAAAAATAGTACAACTGCCATGTGTTATGAATTCAAATACCTAATAAAAAGCATATGCTACGAATGATAACTTACATGTAAATGAATGTGGCAAAGCTGACATGCATAAATTTTACCTGTGATCTTCCAAAAATGGCCACAGCCTACAAATCTGTTTCGTCGATCATGGAAAGGATGTCAAAGTCTGACCTTCAGTACCCTGTGCAACACCAAGCTCTCTGTATATTTATCTAAAGTTAATCATCATGAACTTTGCATCTTAAAGTTTTTATTTGATGAGTAGAAAATTTGTAAGAACCCAATTTTCGATGGTATCAGTGTCTTGATTATAGAAGATCCTAAAAAAAAAATGGCGGTATGGAAATCGCTCCTCTGTCCAAATATATCAGTATTCCTTCCCAACTACCTTTTTCCCTTGTTTCCCAGTAACCACCAATGTAACGATAACACCCATCCTCATCTCTCTGTAACCATCTTGGTTGCCATCCACTCTCTTGGGTCCTCCTTGCCTGCAGCAAGTTTAAGAAAGTTAATGAAGCAAAATCTAATACAAAAGCTGACCTTGCTTAATTTCGAATCAAGTTCATGTAATTTTGATTTCATCTCTTCAACGTCCCTGAATAATCTTTGATCCTCCTCAATCACTGGGATTCTCGACTCAATAACTTGTGATTCCTCATTGTTTCTTGTTATTGGTTTTATTTCCTATCCTTAGTGAGTTGTGGCTCAACATCTTTCTTCACACTAGGGTCAACAACCTTGTTTAGATCAAAATTCATCTGCTTAATTGGTTCTGATTTCACATCTTGTGATCAAGCAACATCCGTATGAACTGAATCCTTCACTGGCTTCAAATCCTCCCGGTTTACTGTTTTAGACTCAACATGATCATCAACCTGCAGCATAAAAAAAAGGGGGAATAAACACCACCAAATTCTTGCTAAACATCTTGAAATTTAAGAATTCAATAAAATGAAACTTGCTATCATTATTCAGGGGGCATAACATATCAAAAATAAGTCAATGTAACCAGAAACACGTTACATGAAGCAAGCAGAAGATTTGAAAACTCCTGTATTAATGCATCCCCAATTTATTTTATGTAGCAACACACGTCTTTTTACAATCTACAATGCAGAACTTTGACAATATTTATATCTACCACCTATAAAGAAGCCAACCATTACACAACAGAAAATGAAAGGGAAAAAAAGAGCATAAACCACTACGTAGGAATAGAAGACAAATACAATCGACATCAGACTGCAAGCTTAGAAAAGATAAGGCCTACATTTTTTGTACTGATAATGCCTCCTTGATAACCATTGATCTAAACCTTTGATTATTGAGAACTGATGGCAAATACGTCGTAATTATTCGATTTAGTTTAAACGTTGATCATGTAATATATGGTTAATCTTAATTGATGTAAAACATGGGGATTAGATTGTTAATTTGTTTTTTTTTTTTTGACACATCTCCAACAAAAGTAAAATGAGTTTGCCACTTATTTATCTTTTAGTCTTTCTTTTTTCGTTTTTGATATAGAAACTTTAATGTTAATTCGAACAACTGTGTTTTTATTTTGTACTTCCCTATTTTAAGACCTTTAGAACACTTATTTAAGTATGTAACAATTCATAGTCGTCTTTTTTTCTTTTATTTTAGTTTTGAGAAAGAACCTTTTACTGTTAATTTAAATTAACTTAAGAATTGTCACTAATTCATATCATGATGATATGTTAATTGATATGTTGAATGAAACATTTTGCGATAACTTTGTTCATTAAATTGTCATTTATCGCAAGAAAAAAAAAAAGCAATACATGCGTTCCACATCTGATTTCTCATTACCTCTAAGTGATACTTCATAAAGTGAACTTTGAAATCAACAAACCAATTTTTTACTGTGGTCAAACATTGTTACTGAATAATCTTTTCCAATGTATTCATATGAAGTAATGAATATAGCTACATATAAGATAATATTGTTGCTTGTATAAATAATGAATATAGCTTACAACCTATATATACAGCTAGGAGTCTAAAAAGGGATGCAAAGAATATAAAACTAAATTACAGCTAGATACAAAGTTAACAAATATACAAGCACGATTCAAAACAGTAGCATAATTAAAGGAGTTGAATAAGGCAATGGTTGAATATTGTGATTTTGAGCTATCCCGGTTTAGGCAAAAATATGGAGAGATAATAGCAATCAGAGATATCTTAGGTAGTATCTTTATCACATATCATTTCACAAAAAGGGAAATTTAGGGAAAAGCTGAGTAGTACCTAAGCCTACATATATGTATCATTAAATAGCTTTGCTTTTTCGGTTTCTGATGTTTATGAGTAAAAGGAACTAAAAAGATACTTTCATCTCATGAATTTAGGGGGTTTGGAGAGATGATTTGTAAGAAAGTGGATACAAACAAAATGACCTCTTGTATCCGTTGGGTAATACCAATCAATTCAACGTCAGAACGGATACAAGAGGCACTTTCATCAATTCAACAAAGGCACTTTCATCTTATAAGCACTGTCCATTTCCATTTCAAGGGTGTTTTAGAGTTACTGTTACTTTGGATTAACTTTAGATTAATATGGCCTAGAATTATCATTAATTTATTTTATCATCAATATTATTATCATACAAATACCTTAATCATTATGAATCATATACTTATATATAAAGAATATAATTTAATCTTTATATTATTTTCGTTTAACAATCACCAAATATTATCATTAGACATGAAAGATAACATTCATTCCCAACAACCAAATATAGCACAACATTCATTCAAACAACCAAATATATTACAAGATTCATTAAAGTCGATCATCATGCCCACTTGAACCGGGTATTTAAAGTCTTACAAAATACATTGTTAATTCACTTGTCTTGGTGGGTATTACCAAACGGATACAAGAGGTTATTTTTTCTTGAACGGTTGTATCTGAACAAACTAATACCCATCAATTCAACAAAGGCACTTTCATCTCATTGATTTAGGGGATTTGGTGAGATATGATCTGTACAAAAGAGGATATGGACAAATCAGTCAGATAAGAAAAAAACAAATGATAGTAACCTGTTGTATCCCTTGGGTACTAATAAGTCTAATAACCATCAGAACTTATCACGTAAATAGGACACTTCCTTTTTGTTGCTTTTGTGTTGCCCAAACTTGCAGGTCTCCACATGAGTCATGAGTGTAACTAAATGGGCCGGCCCATTCCACAAGTGTTCAACGAGTGGTCTTTCAACCCCAAAATATCACATGCGTAAAAATTGTCTTCCACTATAATGGGGTTATAATCCCACAAGTAATTTGTTATATAAAATGAACCACTAATATCTCATGCATCACTCTTCTTTCTCGAACCATAAACCCCATATTAAAACCCTCTACTAGAGTGAGTAGTGAGGCTTCCAGCCCCATAATTTCCCATCCAATACCATCAGCCTATGCCCGACGTAGGCTGTTTTCTACGTTGGAGGCTGGGAACTCAGTGTCTCGAAAACAGGCTAAAGTCATGACAAATGTGCATGATGTTCCGGTGGTGGAAGATGTAATCATCGACCTTAATGATGTCAAAGACCCTCCTCAAGGCGAAAAAAGGCCGGTAAATCCAAGGTGATACATGTCCTCAGTGATGACGACACGGAAGTGGCCGGAGAAGACCAGGCCGAAACTCAGGCTGTTTACCCAAACCCTAGTTCCCTTTTCCCGAAGATAACATTCACGGTAAGGAGCCTCACTGAAAATGATTCTGGAGTAGAGTTTAGCCTTAGGGTTAATGAAAGTTTCGAGCGGGTTTACTACAAGTATGCTGCTAGGGTGGACTGCTTTCCGGATGATATTACTATTAAGAAGGCTGGCGCTATAATTTCTGAAGGTGAGACACCGGAACGGGCTGGGATTCACAACGGAGCAAAGTTGTTTGTTGTCGGACGGGTAAGTAGAAATATGACAGCGAAGATCATGGTATCGTATTTGTAAGCTTAGGAGTCTTTATATATAATATATTATATAATATGGTTTCATATTTGTTAATTAGTTTATCAATTTATATAGAATATATTATTTATGGTAACATAGTTTAATATATAAAATATATTATTTATGTTGTGATATTATCTTAAATTTGTGTGATAATATCTGTAGTTTGTGTGATAATATAATAAGTTTTTGTGATATTATCTTAAGATTAATTTTTCCCAAACTTAAATTTGTGTGATAATACCTAGTTTTGATATTATCTTAAATTTGTGTGATAATACCTAGTTTTGATATTCAAGTCATGGTTTTTTTTTTACTAATGTACCAGAACTTTACTTTTTGTTACTAGAATGATGAGTCTAATATGGACGTTCGTACAAAAGTCATCTACCTTCGAGAGGTCCGAACCCGTCCAAGGTATAAGAAGGTCATAATCCGGGTGGATGCGCATCTTGAGAAGCTTTTTCAAATCTAGAGTGAGGAAGTTGATGTGAATCGTGACTACATAACAATGATCCATGAAGACAAGGAGGTTACTCCAATTCATACTGTTTGAGGTGTGGGTATTAGGAATGGCCACGAAGTGTTTTGTTTCTCCAACATCTGATCTGTGACCGAAGAGGGAAAAGGGAGATTGTTTTTGTCGTTGTCAAGACAAGTGAATTAATATTGATGATGAAGTTCCAGGTTGTTGTTTGTGATATAGTAGGTACTTTGGGCTTCCCATATGCTTGGCATTAGTTGATCTTTTGTAAGACTTTAAATACCCAGTTCAAGTGGGCATGATGATCAACTGTAATGAATCTTGTAATATATTTGGTTGTTGGAATGAATGTTGTGATATATTTGGTTGTTGGGAATGAATGTTATATTAATCAAACAAGTGCACATAGTCACTGATGCATTTGTATTGACCGACGTTATAGTATTCACAAAGTTAAAATTGGGCTAATTATCTAATATTGTCTAACTGTCTTATTCAGGGGTTAGTAGTAATTGGCCATGCATTTGAAAATTGATACTCAAAATGCCATTCCTAACAAAACAAAATGACATTCGCCTCTAATTGACTAATCACTATATATCTTTACATTGTATATGGCAACAAGTTATACATTTTACAAACCCATCTTTTTGGGTCTAAGGTATGTGGTAGCTTGTCGCGACCCTGGCATAGCAATTTTTTGGTTTTCTTTATGACGTTTTTCCCTCTCTTTCGCCTTCCTTTTTTTCTCTGCATATTCTTGTTCTTTTCTCAAACTCTCCATTCTTCCTCCATAGCTGTCTTCTCTTCTTTCTGTTTCTTCTTATGCTCCAACAATGATGTATCTGAGACTCTTTAACTGAGAAGAACATTGGCCCTAATTCTGATAACCGTTGAGGCTCCACAGCAGTGACACACTGCAAGAACTCTTTTGAGGTCAAAAGCAGCTCGTGATAAACAACATACTCTGGCGTGTACCATTCCTTGTATTAACATAAAGAGCACTGGTTGGATGTAGATGGCATGGTATGCCATTCCTTGTATTAACATACTCACCAATCCCCTTCTGCTTTGCAGAGTTCTAGAAATACGCAGAACATATGGCTTGTCTAACCACATCCCAGTCAGGAGATGATGTAAAGGTTATCTTCAGTTGTTTCAGAATATCCATAAGTTGTGATCTAGCCTTGCGTAAAGCTTTAACCTGCAGAAAATGATCATTGCACCAATCTCCTCGATAGTCATTGCTTTTCCATTGCTGGTACACATTGAGAAGTGTCAACTTTTACCTAAGCTGCATCACTCTCCTCTTCCCTGTCTTTAGGACGGAAAAATACTTTAGGTACTGAAAGCATGGAAACAATAGTTAGCACCTCATCAAGGCATTCTAGCTTTTCACCCAGCAGTAGCATCTTTGCCAGTGGCAGGTCTAATGGAAATTCCACCATTTTCCAACCAAGCTCTGCCAGGCTCCCAACATTGTTAAGGGCACCTAGCACCCACAACTGATACATGGAGTTGAGGATGTTCTCTTGTGGAGGCGGGTCCATGAATTCAAAGTCTAGCAAGTTCTCAATTTTAAGAGATTTCAAAAGCAAAACTACATTACCAAGATTTGTCCTCTAAATCTCAGGTACAGGACTATGAAGCATCTCATTCAGATATGCACTTTCTGTACAAAGTCGGTAGCAAGTGCCAGGACTAGTCCTACCAGCACGTCCAGCACGCTTGTCAGCCGCAGCACGACTCACTGGAAAAACTTGAAGAGCATCCATACCATCTTTTGATTGTAGACCTTCATTTTATTACGTACTTCTAAATAAGACAATACGTACTTCTAAACCTATCAATCCTACCACAACAACTACATTACCAACTGTTTTATTACTACTACCAAACCAGAACTAACTTTAATTCCAGGGGTACAACTCTATTGTTTTCTCCCTCGGTGTGCCTACTACCTGCAATCAATTCATTCCAAAAATTCATTTCACAGATTCATATTAATGAGATTCATATTATTGTATATTGAGTTATACCTTATTACTCAACACAAATCCATCCTTAGTATTAATTCACATTACTACCAGCATTAACATCTATCTACAGAACATACACAGTATTAAGCAAACTATAAAGTACATACCACATTCTTTGGTACATCACAAAATGTACGCTTACAATTTAAACAATTCAACCAATTTCAATTACGGAAATTAAACAATCCTGTAAATTGCTCATCTATCAACATACACCTCTACCAGAAATAATTCAACCAATTTCAATTACGGAAATTAAACCAGTTCACACTTTCGTAATTCAGTAGTTCACTTCATTTTTTGCAAATTATCCGACATTTCAGCAAATTATACCGCGTTCCAACAAACAAATCACCTAATTTGAAGCAAGAGGTTGATGAAGGCATTTTTTCCACCTTTTTCATGTATCCACTGTAAACCCTAGTCAGATCTACAACACTTCAAACCCAAATTCAAATTTAAAGTTACCTTTTTCGATTAACACTAAATATGAGTTGCCGAAATTCCTCCGCTTTACGATCTCCGATCTCCAACGACCTGCAAAATGTTCGGCTCCTCTCCATTTCTTCGATTTCTGTAATTTTACTGCTGTTAATCTTGACGAAATTCCTCTGCTTTACAATATCTGATCTCCAACCTGCATGTATGTTCGATTTCGTGTAATCCCTCCTTCTCCGTTCTCCTCGATTTCGTTTTTCTGAAAAATTCTAATTTCGTTTTTTTTAATTCTAATTACATCTTCTCTAATTCTACTGCTAGTAATTCTACTGCTGTTATCTTAGTTAACTCCGTCCACCAAGTCAGCCTACGTGGAAAGAGTTGGCAAGCATCTTTGTACACATCACATGAAAGCATACCCCTAAAAAGACTATACTGCCCCCAAGAGAAACAAAGTTGTTAATCAATATGAGAAACTTGGATTTTGCCTTAGTTTTGTTTCGGGGGTTTTTGGAATCCCTCGGGATAGTTACAATTCTGGGAATGCGCGTCTGACGTCTGTACCTGCAAAACCACGAAACTCCGGTTGGGGGGAGTCGCCTCCGACGATCAAGTTAGTATGTCTCCGGATGCAGAAAAGTGTGGAAATTAAATGGGTTTTTTTCTCTCTGATTCAGAGAGATTTTGCAATTAATATTGCTCGGTTTGTGTTTTTATTTTTCTAAATGTGTAATAAATGAGGAGTTTCCTCTATTTTATAACAGATGAAGATCTGCTCCACCATTAGGATTACAATGCCACGTGTCAGCATCCGATTGGATACCATTGGGCCTTTGAAGGGCTGCCACGTGTTAGCGCAGTATTGGGCCACGTGGCATGGGGGGGTTTACCCTAAACATTTGCCCCTCACAGGTGTGACGTGGCTTGCCACGTGGCGTCTGTGACACGTGTCACATTCCGGGAAGGTGACGGTTCGTCTCCTTCCCTCTTTTTATTTTATTTTTTTTCTTTTTTTAAATTCGAATTTGGATTCGTATTTGAATTGGAGGGGGAGGTGACGGTTCACCTTCTGCCCCCTCCTATAAATTAGAGACCACCTTCTTGTTGGGTTTCGTAGTGACCCACACTACGCGGATTGAAACCCGCCAAGACCCGCCCCCATAATAAAAGCAATTAACAAGCAAAACATAATTTAAGGCACAAGAAAGGATAAAAGATTATACCTTTTGTTTCGGGGTTTTCTGATGTCCTGCGGGAGAGTTACAATTCCGAGACTGGAACCGGACGCCTGTACCTGCAAAATAACGGAGACTCCTGGTGGTGGGAGCTCCGCCTCCAACGGTCAAGTTAGTACTTGATTAAGGAGTAATTAATGCGGAAATTAAAGTGATTGGGTCTCTCTAGGTGAGAGTGTTTAATGTAGGTAATCTGCTTTGTTAGCGAGATCAGCCGGTTATTACTGTGTGTAATTAATGTGTTTTTTTCGTTCTCCCCCTTAATGAGGATTAAGGGAGGTATTTATAACCTTGGGAAACGTGCCCATCCTAGGTTTAGGTTAACCTAGGGCCGATTGGGCTTCCCTCGGAAGTTGGGCCTGGGTGGCCGGTTTCTCCATTAGGCATGGAGTATGCCACATGTCATGACATAATAGGTCCAAGGTGGACGAATAAGCGCGTGCCACGTGGCAAGGCCTGACAGTTCCAACTGGAGGACACTTGGCAGGTCCTGATTGGCCCACGTGGCGCATTCCGATTGGTGGGAGCAAAATCCCCTAATCATTTGCCCCTCACAGGTGGCACGTGACTGGTCACGTGTTACCTGTGACAGGTGTAGCACTGTAACAGGCGACGACCTTCTACAGGTGTCAGTCGGCGAAAGGACGAGAGATTTTCCCGCCCAAATTTTGAATTCTGAAAGTGACCCTTCGCCTTCTTACTTCGCCTATATAAGGGAGGATTGTCTTGAGTCATTTTCACACTTGAGAACTTTGAGAAAGAACATTCGGACCCCTGAACTTGCTCTGACATTTTGGACCTTTTCTGCCTACCGCCTGTTCTGACAAGCCGACTGCACAGGATTTTCAGCACTTCATCAATCGTCACTCGTTCAGGTAACTGTCGGTTCTCTTACTCTTAATTTTCTTTTTATTTTTTGAAATGGCACCACGGAAGCACACGACACGACCTAGGTTAGTGATCAGCCGGTCACCGGGGACGGCTGAATCTAGGACTAGGAGTGCCGCCTGCCCTTTTCCGGACCCATCTTTGCCCTTTATACAAAGTCCGACTGTATCTGTGTCTATGCAGAGCAGGATGGCCAGAACGAAAAAGACTGCTAGGATCTCAAATTCAGACGGCTCCTCCCACAGGGTGCCGCTTAGTGAAACATCTGACCAGGCGCCAGATGTGGAAGTGAAACAAGGCGGCCTGAAAGCCGGCAATTCTGTGGGAGGGGTCATAGTGACCCCTTCCCATTTAACAGTTAACAATTCTGCTCCTTTTCAAAGAGAGGAGGCAGGCCCCTCCGGGAGAGGGGAGGAGTCGTCCTCTTCGGACTCGTCAGAGGACGATTCCGAGTCAAGCTCTTCTGGCCATGCTTTGGACACAGAAGAGAAAAACAGCCGCCTGCAAGAGGCGAGACTTTCTCACGCAGTTGAGAAGGGGGACAATTGGGCGGAGCCATCCGCCTCTTACCGAGAGCTAAATACCCCCTATTACTGCACGGTACCTCAGGGCCGGATCACAGCCATGCAAGAGAAAGTGGAGAGCTTTATTGCAAACCACACCATGGGCCCCGACTTTCTAGTGTTTGTGCCGGATCCAAAAGACACAGTCGTCTGGCCGTCTTGTACCAGTTATGATAGCGCCTGCTTTGGCTGCTGTGAGGCGGCCATCAAGGCAGGGCTGCGCTTCCCATTACATCCAGCTGTTTAGCGGATCTTGGATGGGTATGAGTTGGGGTTATGGCAGTTAGCCCCAAACTCTTGGGTCAACGTACTCGGCTATGTGGCCGGGTGCGAACTGCACGGGGTGGAGCCGAGCTTCGAGGCTTTCGCCCATATGAACTATCTCAGCCGGACCCCTAAGACAGGCGGTACCGGCTGGTATCAATTGACAAGCCACAGGGGCTACCTCATGACGAGAGGTAAAGCAAACAAGTGGAAGGACTGGCGGAGCACCTTCCTTATCATTGAGAGTTCAGACACTGAGCTGAACAAGCGCTTCAATAGGTGGAACAGGAATCCGCTCCTTCTTGCAGGCGGCCGTAGCATGCCGCCTGTTCCCCCCAAGGCTAAGAAAGAGATCCTTGATAAAGGACTCTTTAAAGTAGAGTCGAGGGTCGACTCTACTTTAGGGGTACGAGAGCAAGTACCCCTGCACTGCGTCCCGAGCTTCAAATGGCTCTACGACGAGTACTTTTTGGCCGCCTGTGGCCTCAGCAGTCGGTGCTCAAGAGGTAGTCGGCTTGTCGAATACTCTTTTGTTCCATACATTTCTTGTTATGACTTTTATTAACTTTGCTGTTTGTTTTCGCAGCTGACGCCATGAGCAAAATCACCGCCTCCAAGACTGCGGCGGCCATGTTGCGGGCCTCCATCATGCAACAAGCTTCAACCGACTCCCCCAAGAAGGGAGCACCCTTGGTGAGCTCCGAACCTTTCACCCTCTTTTTGGAGTTGTGTTTATGCATATACTGACTTTTTTCTTCTTTTTTAGACGGGTGCTCCAAGAGCGTCATCTTCCCAACAGCCGGACCCCAAGGCCCGGAGGACGACTGTTGCGAGCTCTCCTGGTTCAGCCAGGAAACAGGTGGCGGCTGAGAAACAGCCGGCCACTTCTTCTAAAACTCCAACTGGGCCGCCTAGAAATATGAAGTTGTCCTTGTAAATTTTAGACTTGCTCCCTTTTTTACTAGGTCTAATCCGTTTGTTTATGCTTGATGCAGCCGGCCCTCAGGAGCCTGACTTGGTAGAGATGGCCAAGTCTATTATCAGGGCAGTTCCTCCAGCTGAAAGGGAGGCGGTCAGGGGTGTCGGCACCCTTGACCTAGACGGGATTGCAGGGGTCCTTGCTGAGGTATACTTAGCATATTTTTGAGTATTTGAATTTCTGGACGCCTGTTTTCTTTTTGTTTGGAAACTGACGCCCATTCCTTTGTACTTAGGCCCTGCTCCGAGTGAACGACCTTCGCAAGCCGCTTGACCGGAAGAACAAAGAGGTAAAGGCTGCAAAAGCTATGGCCGCCTCTGACTGTGATAAGGCAATGTTTCAAATTGCCCAAAATGAAGTTCTAACCATTGATATTCTTTATTATCAGGCGCAGGCTACCGCCGCTGTTCGGGCTCAGTTAGAGGCGGCCCAGAAGAGGAATGGCGAGCTGGAGGCGACCATCACCAATCTCAAGGCCGAGCTTAAACCTCTTCGCCTAAAAATGTACTCATACGAAGCCTTGGAGAAATCCTTGGCCAACGTAAAGGAACGCCTGGTGACCCAGGAGAAGAGTCTTACTCAAGAGCTCTCGGAAAAGGCCGAGCAAGAGAAGAAAGAGTTGGTCCGGGAGATGATGGAAGACTCCGCTCAAATCCAGCGCATGACTTGGGGCCGCCTCTTCCCTAATGCCGACTTTGCCTCATGGGAAAAAACGTACCGCCAGTGTTCTGATACATATAATCAAGAGATCCTGGCGGCTGCTGAGGAAGAGGCGTTGGAGGAAGCGTTGGAGGAGGAGGAGCCGGTAGTGGCGCTTGTGCCGCTTGGGGGTAAGGCATCAAAAAAGGATGCAGCTGAAGCCGAGTCCAGCAAGAAGAGTGCTGACCAGGCGGCAGCTGCTAATATTGAAGATCTGCCCCCTTCTTAAGCTTTATGTATTCTTTCCACGGCATGCGTGCCGTTTGTTTTGTATTTACCCGGCCAGGGGGCCGGGACTTTGAATATTTTTCCGGTCTTTAATGACCGGCTTCTTTTTAATGAATTTTTGTTTTGCTTTAAATTTGTCTAAGTATTCCATATCTAATATCCAATTGTTCACTAGACCGACTGTTTTACATGGCCGATAGTTGCAGACAGGTACGGATAGTTAGTCACGCCGCCTATGCCCCTGGACGACTGGTTGTCTGTTTCCAGGATAGACGATCAGTCGGCCATTTATCCAATCGGTATTCGAACTATTTTAAGGTCTGGATCCTTTTTAGGCAGGCGGTCCTGTCATTTGTAAATTTAACCAAGTAGGAAAGTGGTCTAACCAAGTAAACATGAGTGTTACCTAGTCGCCAAGGAACTGAGTAGTAGAGATAACAAGCGGCGGGTACCGGTTGTTTCCCTTTATTCGCCAATATTTGTTGGCTTTTAAC